TTTAGATTTGCTTTAGAACTCAAAACCAAATTTTGATATTTCATCTGGATTTTTAAAGAAATTCAAGAACGTGGCAATTTTTCATATATGCAAACCAACAGATCGTATTTTTATTAAATTATTCTTTGCATAAAAGTAATGTAGGTTTACGTAAATGTCTTAAAAGTAATATACCCAAGATTGGTATATTTGAATTACTATATGACCGTCACTTTCTCTTCGTCATTTTTTTTTATCTTTATCTATCAATTGCTCTATCTATAAACTTATTAATGTAAATGTTTTGGCTGATAAAAAAAACTTCTATTTGAAGTATTACTGTTGCTATTTGAAGAATTACTAATATAAGAGGATAACATACACTAAAATAGTAGCGTACATAATTTGTTTTTTTTTTCATCCAATAAGCTGGCTAATTTATTAATTAGTAATTAAAAGTGCTGATTTGAGTCATCAGCAATGCAAAGACAACAATATCAATTGTTAATAGGTCTAAAAAAATCATTTGAATTTACATTTTTCATCTATAATAGATTTGCTCAAGTTTATTCATATATTTCGATGAATTTTATATCTATTTATAATTTCAGTTTGTACTGTGCGATTTTATGGCCGTGTAAAGATACATTGCCTGCAAAACATTACACAAACTTTGCAAGATAATTTCTGCAGAGACGATTGCATGAAGCTGAATCGGCCTGGTGGAAAATGTGACCAGGCAAATCAAAGATGTGCATGCAATTACCATTCTGATTTCTTTGTGAATTAAATATAATTTACATAAAACCACAGCTTTGTATATAAAAAGCATTAATAATAATGAAATAAATAAACTTAAAAATGTTGCTTTTTAATCCTGCTTCAATTTTCTATTTTTTTATATGCCTCACACAGTAGATAATAACAGTTAAAATGTAGTAATATATATCACAAATATGTCGAAATATTTTCAAAATTTGCCAATTAATTGCAACACATTTGGCACCTTGAAATTAAATAAATAATAGAAGCATAATAAATTCTGAAAAATGTTATAGACATTATTATTTGGAAAACATGTTGCGGAACTGTTGTTTTTTCTTTTGTATTTGTCTTTTTATACACATGGGATATTCTTTCTGTAAGTATAATTACATTTAATTTTAGTTTTCACAATAATTAATAAATTAATTCTTTTAATAGCTCCAGGAAAACCTGTCGAAGGATTATGTTCTAAAATAGAATCAGACTCAGAATCTCAATCAAAATGTCTTGTACAATGTGCAAAATTGTCTAGAAAAAATGCTAAATGTAAAAATGGTTTGTGCTATTGTGAGAATAACGATGGCACTGAATTTGTTCTCAGTTATGTGAATAAGACTAAAGAACGTGAGTATAAATGAATTTTAAACGTAATTTCTAAACATAAATGATTTTTTAAAATTCACCTTTAGAGATTGAGAGGGAAATCAAATTAGAGGATAGAGCCGCGTGGACTTCTGAAGAAAGGATGCAAGGTTTGATATATTATATATGTTATTTAAATATTTAAATTTTGAATTTAAATATTAAAAACTTCAATGCAAAACAGATTTGTTAATTAACCCATAATAGATAACATAGTGAATGTGTTATAATTACTTTTTTTTTTTTAAATAATAATGTAGTACATCATCTATTTTACAAACATATGATTACCTTTATAATTGAATTTTGTACAAAAGGAAAATTTATAAAATATGATTCATTAATACATTATATTTTTACTAGGATGTAAAATTAGATTTAATGGAGTCATTGAAATAATGTGTAGAAGTTATGGAAGTCCAAGTACTTTAGACATGTATTGCAATAAGGATTGCAAGAAAATTGGATTACCATATGGAAAATGTGTAACTGGCAACCAATGCGAATGCTATGTAAAATAATAATTATAGAAAGATAAATAAGTCAATAAATTTAAAAGAATATAACTTAATAATTCATATACTCAGAAGCAAATGTAAAATGGAATTTTATAATATGCTTATTTATTATTATGCCAATAAATGAAATAAATGCATGAATACATAAATCTTTTCCTAGATAAGTTTGAAAATGATTTGAATTCCAATCATACAGTTATATCATTACAGAAATTTGAGGATTAGTGGAAAAATTCCAATGATTCAAAAATAAATTTCATTTATTCAATTTTTTATTCAAAAGCAAAAATTGATGAACTTGAAAATAAACTTGTATGACAAATATTTACTTATAATTTAACGTTTAAATAAATATTTACTTTTCTTCAACATAAATGTATTGCAAAATGTTATCGCACTATACAAAAAAATACGTTATTTATATTGTCATCTGCTTTAATAAATTATTAACATGTGGTATAAAATATCTGTTCCAATCTTATTTTACATTTTTGCATATATTTTAAAAATTTCGGCAAATAAAAATATTTTATACGTACCTCTACCTGATGATCAATGTATACAATGGGGAGAATTTACATATGAAAATTATAGAAGGTGGAAAGAATCTGAAATTAGACTTGTTGTAAATCCATATGAAAAGTTAGAAACAGAAAATAATCATGGTGATATCAAAAAAGATTTATGTACATGTATGGAAAATTTCGACTTAGATCCCAAATATGTCGATATATATAAGAGAAATCAAATGAAATTGAGTCACTCAAACTCTTCTAATATTGGACATAGAATCGACAACTCTTCGAAAACAACTGGAGCTGAAAAGAAGGAAAACCTGAAACCAGCCAGTTCTATTAGTGAATCATTTGAAGATAGTGATGAAAACTTCGAAAAAAACTCAAATAGGGTAAATGATACAAAAAATATTAAAAATTATAATAATCAGAAACCTAACTCAGATAAAAGAAGTCAAAACTCTTCTAATATTGGACATCAAAACTTTTCGAAAATTGAAACTGAAATAAAGGATAAACTGAAACTAGCAAGTTCTATTAGTAAATCATTTGAGGCAAGTGATGAGGATTTTGAAAAAAACTCAAATAGAGTCAATGATTCAAAAAATAATAAAAAACATCATAGTCAGAAACCTAACTCAAATAAAAGAAGTCAAATACTAGATACCAGCAAAAACAGGATGATCCAGCACAATAATGAATCATCAAGTGAAGAATTCGATGGCAGTGAAGAAAATGTAAAAAATCTACTATCTACTAAAGATTCTTCAAGTGAATCATTTGATAGTAGTACAGAAGTCCTTTAAAAAAAATTTGATAAACCGAATTAATGATTTCAATACGAAGATGAAATGCAAACCGAGTTAGGCAAAAATGAGAATAATTAAGAAAAATTATCAGTATCAGAAAATCTAGTTTATGTCAATACAATTATTATAAATAATGCCGTTAATATACGTGGAGTAAAATAAATAATACTACAAATACATGCTTTATTATTTTCTCCCAAAAAGTAAATAGAGAAGTGGATTTTATGCAATGTAGGAATAAATCTTGGATTTTTATGCGAACGAACGAATTATAAATACTACACAGAATTTATTGCTACAACATAACTCCGCAAACTAGTTGAAAGTGGCATTTAGCCTTAAGGCGAGTTCCATGAACATCCCGAAATGTGTAAGAATCGAATTTGAAATTTAGAAATTAAATAAAATTATCAACTATTTATTTCAAAAATGAAATTATAGCTTTCAATTAAATCTAAACATTGCGATTTTGTATAGATTTTTTTTTCAAACACATTTAAATTACCTGTAATTACATTAATTATATTGCACAGATATGTGCTTGTATGTCCTAAAATTGTAGCTTATTATTTAAAATTTTAATGAATTGATAATGTTTGACTCATCACATCACAAAAGCAACGTTTGACACAGATTTTGGCTATAATATTTTCTCAAACTTTGATGAATTTTTAACATTAAACTATTTGTCGTAGGGCCATAACATTTTAGTATATACTAAAATGTTTTATAAGACCATAAGCAGTTAATTTCATGAAACGGCACGGTAGATTTTTACCTAAAACTAATCGGTATCATTCCCAACCAATATCTTTAGAACAGTTTTTGATTTTGTAAAATCGATTTAGAATTGAGAGCTAAAACGTGCACGAAAAATGTTTCTCTGCTATTTACAAAGAAACGGCTCAGCCGATCGTCGCACAAAACTGAGAAACGCTAGTTCTCATCGAGATACATCGAATAGCTTTATAATTTTTGAAATCGGTCTAGCCGTTTTTGAGAAAATTGCTTTACCAAATTTTGAGAAACGCTAGTTCTCATCGAGATACATCGAATGGCTTTATAATTTTTGAAATCGGTCTAGCCATTTTTGAGAAAATTGCTTTACCAAATTTTGGTCTCATTCGCTTCAAAATGGCTTGAAAACAAAACGTCTCCTTCAGGACGTTAATAACTATGATACTTTATTTTAGACTTATGATATTGTACCAATATATTTTAACCCTATATAATAGAGATTGTTATGGTAAGTTACTATCAAATTTACTGTTGTATTTGTAAAAAAACAGTAAATTTGCAATAAATGCACCTAAATTTTATCTAATCTATAGCCTTTGCCATAGATCTGTGTATTTTGAAAAACTGAAAAAAGAAATATATTTCTTACTTACATTTGGAAAAATCACTATTGGTCCGTTTTGTCGTATTAAACTTTTGGCATTATTGTTAATCTTGCGTCTTGCGTTGTTTTATCACATTTATTTTATTTGACCTCTTATAAGTTATAGTTATTTATTGGAATAGCATTAATTAAAATGCTCAAAACTTTATTTACTTTATATTTATTTTTCAAACTATGCAAACGCATTAGCATTCTCAAACTTTATCTAATGACAGTTCGTGAAAAGAAGAGAACTTAACCAGGGGATCAAGTTACAGGTTTACCACCACATAAGCAATAACAGGATGCGGATGTTGGTAATATGTCACCCGCGCAAAACATCACCCCTTAAAAGCGCAAACGTCAAAAATCATAACATAACCACCAAATCAATGTCGTTATTAATAACATAACATATCTACTTATAAGTTAATAGCATTAAAAATTGTTCAAAGTATAAATTTATTCAAAGACTTCAATGATTAAATTACTGATGCTCAAAACTTATACTTCTAACGTATATTAGTTTTTAATTTACAAGTGAAAATGGAAATGTTTAATAGACCTAAACCTGGTGATCAAGAAGATGACGTTCTTAACATGCAAAAAGCCTTCCTTGCCGAAAAGCAAAAAAATCCGAATATCCAACCAGCTGCTAAAGTAATTAATGCACGAAAACATCCTGCAGAAAATTGTGCAAGTAAGGTTATGTTTAATATCTTTTTAAACACTAATGTTTTTTAACTGAAATATTATTTTGTAGCCCCTGAGACTCAAGCTAAAAAGAAATCCAAGTTTGCAGCAAGTCGTAGTACATGTACAAAAAATGACGAAGAGAGATCCCGTTGTTATTCTAACGTTCTTGAAGATGTAGAGGAAAGCCAATCTAGTAATAGTAACACAACATCAAAACTAGAAGATAATGTGTTCTATCCCATCCCCAAAGGTTTGATTATTCACCTTTTAATTATTATATTATAATATTTGCTTATTTATTATATACTATACCTTGCATTGATGTTTAGGCAAAGTGTTGGGAGATATAATTGAAAGGCCAAATGCGTCATGTAATATTTCACATGAAAATGAAATGGAAACACAACCTGCTACACATTTTCCTGAGGTTAAGAAGATACTTCACTATGTATGTTTAAAATGATAAGTATGATCTGCAATTAATCTGCATTTGATAAGTAATTTTGTTTTTCAGCATGAGTCAAGTAATGTAAGCATATTTGCTCAAGAAATGTTGAAACTTGGAAATGTTGAGAAAAAGGAAGCTTTTGAGAAAATGGATGTATGTACAAGTGCCAGTAAACCATCTACAGTGAATTCTTTATCAGAAGCAGATAGAAATGCTATTGATCAACAAAATAATGAAATAATTAGTAAAATGACTCCTGCAGAAATTGAAGAAGAACGGCAAAAGTTACTCAAAAATTTAGGTATTTTTCTATTGAAATCCATTAAAAAGCATCTTTGTTTATGAATATGTAAAGTTTCTATTTTTTAAATCTATTTTTTAATAATGAGCTTTGTTATTAGGCTAATATTAAGTTTTAAATTATAAAATGTTTGTATAATAATGATATGTGACCATATTTCTTTTACAGATCCTAGCTTAGTTGAGTTTTTGAAAAAGAAACAACTGAAGAAAACAGAAAAGCATCCTATTAACAAAAGCACTCTCAGTGAAAGCCTTGGTATATATGAACTGTATTTAACCATAAAGGTTCAGTTAATTATAAATCAATGTCATACTTAATTCTAGAAAATGCTCCACCTGTAATAAATTTTGATACTAATGAACCACCCGAAGCAGCTAATGAAGTTTTAAAACACCCACTATCTCACACATGGATCCATTTTGATAACTGTGAATCAGAAAAATTAAAGTGGACAACAGATGTTGCTGCTCCTAAAACTAAATTGAAACCTGGAGAAACTTATGAAGCACGGTATGGTTAAATAATATTCCAAGTTAGAATCAGTAAATCTTATTATAAATACAAAATATATATATATATTTTTATTTTATTTTAGCTTTGATTTTGCCGGCGCTTTACTTGAATATGTTCCTGAAGGCAACCAACCTAGAGAGTTATATCATCATGGTGAAGAACCTCATAGACCTGGTTATTCCATGAAAGAATTATTTAAATTGACTAGGTGAAGATGCATTTTATGCTATAGAAAACTTGCTCTCACTTTAATTATAGCAAAATTATTTTTTTTTAATTTCTTTGATTATAAATTTCAGGTCACAAATTCAACAGCAAAGAATAATTGCTTTAAATTGTCTTGCCGGCATATTAGAAAACTATATGGTGGGTAATTATTGGTTCTTAGATTTACCCTTGGCAAAAATATTTTTTGTCATACGATTTGCTTTGGATGATAATGCTACATCGGCACTTCACCCTGCCTTGAGGGCAATGAGATCCTTCTTTTTCCACCATATTGATGAGGTAATACTCAATACTTTAGTTCTAAATTATGTTTATATAATTTATATTTTGTTTAATTATAGTCTTGTCTAGACAGTACAGTTTTTCTTGATGATTTAAAACAACCATTATTGAGCCCTCTCACAAAAACTCGGCAAAATACTAAGGAATCAAGAAATGATCAAGATTTGATTAATTATATTCCAGAAAAAAATGAAGAAGATGAAATGACTGATTATCATATTGCTGAAAACGATATTGTGCAATGTGCCTTAAGAACTGATATATTACCTAGAATAAGGTAAAATAATTTAGTTTAGTGTATCTTTTTTTCCATAATTTATCTAATATAATTAATCAAATAAATTATTTAGAAATTTAGTATACTTACAATTGAAATTCAATTTAGGTACATATTAAGTACGATTCGCCCAAATTTAAATACAGTTGAATATTGCTTGCAAATACTCATAAGATTAGCAAGAGAGTCTGTAGCTGAAGTGGATCAAATACTAAAATGTGAAGGAATTGTGGAGATAATTGTTAATGAGTTTTTGCCCAATTCCTCACAACATATTGGTAATAGTTTGTGATTATATTAATAAATTTTATATTTGACTTGCAATTATTTGATTCATAAGAGTATGTTACTTTTGATCTAGGTAGATCAGATATTGCATATGGTACACCAGTAATATTGGCTTTAAAATTAATACGTATTATGGCTAGTCATTCTGCAACTATTGCCAATGATATATACACCAGGTAAAGCATTTATATCAATCATTTACCAAATAAATGTTTAATTTAATTCTGACCAGAATACTGAATTATTGAATTCTCACTTTTTTGCAGATACTTTAAAGTAATAATAGCAATTCAATGTTATATGAGTGCTGTTATTGAAGTTGATCCGTCAACAGTAACTTTACAAATAGAAGCAATGAATACATGGGCTGTTTTTCTTTCTTACGGAATTGCTCAACAAGAATTTTGGTAAAAAATTATTTATATTTATTTATTAATTAATTTAAAATTTCACTCCAAGAATTCTACTTATTGTATTCTACTTAATTCTACTCAATAATGTTATAGGAGTTTATTAAATTATTATTATTAAATTTAATCAGTTATTTTATTTGGTTTCTAAATGTTTTATTCAATTTATTACAGTGGCATGTTTCCTATAATTATGAGGCAAATGGATTATCATGTGCGTGCTACCCATATTATAGAAAATAGTTATACTCTTCTGCATTCTCATGGAGCGGCCTTGCTTTCTTTGATATCTCAGAGTCAAATTGCTGTGCAATTTGTACCAATATTAGTTTCTGGTCTTTGTAACTGGTCTCAACAAATTGTTAGACTTAATGAATTCTCGGTAAGAATTTTTAGATATACCAGTACTAATTAGCAGTCTATATATAATTTTTTGTATTAGTCTGGACACCTGAGACTGATTACATCAGCTTATAATACTCTGTCTATTATACTATCAAAACGAAATATGCAAAACGCATATAATTCGCAAGACATCAAGATGCTTAATGAAAAATATATAAAGCAAATGATTCAATCCAATGGTTTTGAGAGGTTGTGTAATGATATATGGTAAATTAATTTTATTCCTGTCTTTGTATATATGATTTAATTGAATAATCTAAATTTGATAAAAAAAAATTAATATATTTCAGTGAGAATTCTAATCTTTTATCCAATGTAACTGAAATAGAACGCCCTCGACCTTGTGCTACTCAGATAGGAGCTTGTACTTCTCAACGCAAAAATCTATTGACACCTATATTATGTGCAAAATCTCCAATTATATTTTTAGCATCGTTAACTAGATATATTCTAGCAACAAAAAACCATGAGGTTAATTTTTACATTATTTTATCTCATTATGTTCCTAATATTTGTAAATTCAAGTTTCTTTAAATTTCAGGCTTGTCAAGTCTTACTAAATAACAGATCAATTCAAAGTTATTTGAAAAACATTGCAACTTCACAATTACACATGATTTCACATTGGTTCACACGCATTGAATACTCTTTATTAACAAACATGCTAAAATTTTCATCTCTGAAAGTGATTATGGAAAGAAATATAATTTTTCCAATTGCTTATAAACTCTCTTATTTATTATCACAAGAATTTCAAAAGGAATTGATATTTATAATGAGAGAGATCATATTCAATAAAAACTATTTTCCTGAAGAAAGGCGTTTGGAAAACATAAATTTAGAAAATGAACTTAATCTTTTGGACAATTTGAAAGATACTTGTGAATGTTATATCAGTGTTTTAGGATTAGATCAGGTAAACTCTCGTGACTATCTTGATTTAATTTTCTATTTAGTTAAGTTCCTATTTACATAATTTGTTTGTATTAAATTCTGCAGTGTCCAACGAATAATTTATCACTTTCTGATTGGAATCATAGTATTCTGCCTTTGGATTGGACGTATATGCCGATATTAGGTTTTTATAGCAGTAGTCAAGATCATGAAAAAAGCAACAATGCAAAAGAAGGTATATACTTAACTACATAAATTGATTATGCAAGGAATTTCAATAAAAATTAATCCAATGTGTGGCATTTTAGACCAGCAAAAAGATATTATTAAATGTTGCCTTCAATGGCTGATAATATCAGAATCATATATACCAGAACAGGCCAGTCATATGAGTTCAACTGATAGATTTTGCAGATTGTTATGTGTGTTTTTATGCCATAACTCGCTATTCCTGGATCAAGAGATTAAACCTCTGTTGGCTAAAAGCATTTCGAAGATATTTCAAATTGTGCCTACTCAACCGTTTGACTTTAACAAGCCATTACAAGGTAATCACTAATATTATTTTGCAATTTATACTAAATGTTTTGCTTAAACAGATTTTAGAAAGAATGTTTTATTAAATTACAGGTCTAAGCAGTTTTACTGATCTATATACAAAACTTCTGGAACATTATCAAGCTGTTAGTTATGCGGATGAAATGTTTTCAGCTTGTGTACTAGTTCCGTTAGCACATTGCCACGACATTTGTTGGAGAAAGCAAATTTGGTCAGAACATTCTGGATTATTAAGAGTTTTAAATTGCCCAGAAGAAAAGGTAAATAATTTATCACTAATAATTAATCATTTATTTTTATTATACTTTTATTTAACTTACTTTATAAGATTACAAATTAACAAAAAAAAATCAGATTTTTTTTAAATGTTTTGGATAATGCCATCGGATTCATACTCAGAAAATGAACTTTTTTAAAATTACAATAAGACAATCAAATATATTAATTAATATAACTTATTTTTTCAATGCTCATAACTACTTTTAGTAATTTATAATTATTTGTGCAGTGTGTGTGAGAAAAAAAAATTATATCATAACTTTTCATTTTCAGTTGTGTTATCCTCTGCAAGCTTATCTGGAACCAGTAGAAAAGGATGAATCATTATTATTATGTTACAAAAGGGCTCTTCATGGGTTACTGAGGCCTAATACAATTCCTCACAAGATTGCTAGTTATCATGTGAAAAATGCAAAGTAGGTGCTAACATTTTTATTCCGGTCATCCCAGTTATAATAATGAAGGAATGTTTTAAAATTGTTTCTTATAAATAATTGATAAATATGATTAAATAAGATTTATTTAAAGATTTAACATAACAAAAAGTTATGGTTAATTATACTTAAAATTTAAATTTTTGTAATTTTGATAAACAACTTTTCAATAATGATATTTTTTATTTCTTAAACCTCATTTTATAGTTGCTTACTCGTTTTATATTTTTAAATAATGAAATAACAAAACCAGGCATGTTGAAACAATTTTAAACTTTTCACTTACACATCATATTTTCAACTACTGTATTTTAATACGTTAGTTGATAGACGACTTGGTTTCGTTCTCAATTATTGAGCTGGAACTTGTGTATTTCTACAAGTACAAATGTAGTTTCCTCTGGGTTGTTGTTCACATTCACCATTCATACGATTGCGATGTCTTCGGCAGAAATATTTACATCGTCTTATTCCATTTTCTGTGGGTCCATATGGGCCGGAACAGAAAGGGCAAGCATAGTCTGCAACTGATATAAAAGATCCAATTTCAGTAACAATATATTGAATATTGATTAAAAATTGAAAAATTTAATTCTTTAACAAAATGACTCCGTGCAGAATGTAATTTTAAGAGAAGATAAGATGTATTTAATAAATTATAAATCAACTTTCATAATGTGCAATAGTGCAGAGGGATTTTAATCAATTGAATGGTTTATATTATGCTGTTGGTTATTTACTATTCAATAATTGAAAATGATTCTCGACGTACAATGTTATTTAAAATACATTGTAATTTTTCAAATATGTCAAAGTTCTAAATATTTCAGCTGCATAGCGTTTTAGTTTCTTATTAATTTAAATTATTAATTTACATAATACAGATAAAATGAAAATATTATGCATATTTTTTACGATTTTGAGCCCTTGTTGTGAAGGATTATTAGGAATAATTATATAATTTATTGGCAATTATTTACCTTCTATTTCATCGGTATATTGCGCTTTGATTATACTGCAGCAAACACAAAATATTACAGCAAAAACGAATATTGTTGAATTTTTCATTTTTATTCGACTTGTTTGTAACAAATGAATATATTATACTTCCATCCTATTATATATATATATATATATATATATATATATATATATTAATATTAATCTGTGCCATACATAAAGTGTTGATCTCTGACTTTAGTATAATCGGTCGTTTTCTCAGAATTGCAGTAAATATAGATTGTAAATTCTCTTGAAAAGTCTAGTAAACAAATTATTTCATCTGAAACTGCATAACGAACTCTATAAAACGTTCATGCTAATATAAACAATCTATATTGCTATTTCGTTATTTTTAATTTATAAATTTTATATTTTGTACTAAAATTTTAACCATCAAACTATCCAATTAACGCACGATAATTTAATGCAACTGCCTTCGGATTTTTAATATATATATAATTGTAATATTTTAAACTCTATATCACGATGTTGATAATAACCCAAGTAAATTGTTTTAAAGGTATAATACCACTTTACATATAACAATACTTAGAAGAACTTGCAAGAAATTCCTTTGCGTGCATTACAAGAAATTCATTTCACACTGTCTAATATTAATAATTATTTGAGTAGCCAATGAATAATAAATGTACGATTCTATGATAATTTTTTTAAACTGTGTAATATTTCTGTTTAATTCAGCGATAATAATCCGTAAATTGTTGATTTTTCAACGATGTCAAAGTTCAAATTATTGCGGCTGCATAGCGTTTTAGTTTCTTATTCATTTGAATTAATTATTTACATAACACAGATAAAATGAAGTTGTTGTGCATAGTGTTTTTTACGATTTTGTGCCTTTGTTGTGAAGGATTATTAGGAAGAAATCTTCAGCAGGAAGGTAAATGATAATTATAATACAAAACAGCTAAAAATTCCATACACTGTTTTTAGTTCTTAATATATTATGTAACTGTTATCTGCTTTACTTTTGATTTCTGATAATTTTGTTGTGTATACCGAAAACTAGACTCGGTGAGTATTATATATTAATCTTATTTGCTTACCCTATATTTTGATTTTGGACATATTTTGCACACAAAATACAGAAACAATTGTAAGTCAGTAATATTTAAATTTATTTTCAGTATGCGTTAGTTCATATTCAAGAATTTGCTTAGTAGTAATAAATCGAAAGAATATTTTTGCAGGAAAACATCTACATCGTTTGAGACGAAATGCTAATTTATTTTGCTCTGGAAATCTTGGTCCAACTCCAACTGGGAGGATGCAATGTACTAGAAATTGTCAGATGAAGGGAAGTTCAGAAGGCACATGTTTATATGATACATCCTCACAAGGCTATAAATGCATTTGTTTGAATACCCAACCAAGATAAAAAAGAGTCATAAAATTATAGTAGAAAGAATTAGTAGTAAATAAATATATTAAATATACAAAAATGTCTGAAATTTATTAATAAATAGTCTTGCCACCAACAAGTATATGCATTTTTACTATCACCATATGCAAGTTTGCGTTTTTGCTAGAAATTTCGATTTTCTAATTTTACATTTTGTCGACTTTTCGAGTCAATCTATCACACAAATATTGGAAAAAGTTTGTATGTGAGCCAAAATTGACCTTTAAATTTCGGCTCGAAAACGGCTGCACCGATTGCAATAATTTAAAAGTCACATGATGAAACTGAGGACCCGCGTTTATTACTTTTGCGAGGCCATCGTTTTTTATAATTAGCAAAAGTACAATATTTTTAATTCACGTTTTTGCCAAAAATCTTTATTTTAGAAATTTAACCCTTTCGACTCGGCTCCGGCGGCAAAATACATATAAATTCCTGAATTAGCGAGTGGAAAGGGTTAAAAGCTATTTGAAAGATATTTGTTCGGAATAATTTGAAATGATTTGTTTATGTAAAGATTGACCGGTTTTCTTGCAACAATTGTTATTTTTTAACAATTTTAATGAAACTTTGTATTATGAAAAAAATCATGGTCTTAATAAATATTCTAAAATATTATATGTCTACAAAAATTGGTTTAATTATAAAAATTTATTCATGTGGGCGCGTTAAAATTTCAAAATTATATCATCACAGTATAAAAAATTGCAAAAATTAATCAATTATTATTAAGAAGATGATTTACAAGAAAACTACGTGCAACTTTCCTTAAGGCAAAATAAAAAAAAAAACAGTAAAAATTGATACTAAATCGTGAAGAATATTTATCGTTGAGTATTTGATATCCCTTTTCTAATAATAAACTTCCAAGAAATAGTTGCAATAATTAACAAAATAATTACAGTCCTATTTTTTAAATTCTTATCATAGGCGGTGTACATACTTTGAAATTGATATAAAGCGAATTAAGATGTTCAGTCTTCTATCAAGCAAATTGTGAATCAGTCGTCTTTGGTTCCCATATCAAAATGTATTCAAAAATCTTTATAATTTTCGCATTTTTATCATTATTCTTCGTTTTTGCTAATATTGCAAATGCTGATGTTAGCCAAGGTACGTAAAGATTGAAAAACCATTAACACTTTTTTCTATAATAATTTAAATGGTTTTAATAATCATTTTTATATATTGATTCAGTAATCATTTACCACTTATATATTTCAACATTTCATAATACAATATTTTCAATTTTGTTAACATTTTCTTTTCTTCGTAAGATCGATGTACCAAACTGTTTCATATACTCCAAATAAGGAACTATGCATTTTCATATATTAATTCAACATTTATTTACCTCTAATATATTTTAATATTTTCTATATAAAACAACACAAAGACTGGTGCCTTTAAGAAGGATAATGGCGTTTAATTGATTTTTGATATTAAAGTTAAAAATGATTCAGTCCTCGACGGATAGATTTATGGATTTTGTGTTTTTTTTTTTAGAACTCAACGATGAATTATTTTCTCAAGTGAATATTGAATCCGAGCCAAATAATCGCCTACGACGCTACGATTGTAGTTTTTGTTCGGTCAATCCCCCAAGAAGGGACGCCTGCAACAGGGAGTGCATGAGTCGATATTTTATGGCTGGAGATTGCAAATATGACCCTTTGGAGAAAAAGAGTAAATGTACTTGCATGAATGAGCATAAATAATTAAATGATCCACAATTGAAAAGGGAATCAAATACTAAACTTATCTTCTTCAGTTAATCACAATAAATAAACTTCTATATGTATTATTCTTTGTTTGTAGCACATTTATCATAACAATAATAATTTTAAATACATAACAAAATGATTTTTTACATTATATATATTAATGACTTTTTTTCAACATGTATTAGTTCAAGAAAAAAATTAAAAATGCAAATACACAAAGCATATGTAAAAGCATTAATCGCGGAGGTTAGCTATAAATAGAAATTAATCTATCAAGGGGTTATCATTTTTTAAATATGATGATATGATGCCAATACATTAATGAATAAATAGACAAGTATAGTGTGTAGAATATTCCTTAAGAAAGTTAATCGAAATGTTTATAGTTTTCTAAAAAATATATCTACAAAAATGCCAGAAATCATATTTAGTAAATGAGATTAAAAATTGAGATCAAAATAATTCAAAATATTGTTTCAGTAAAAATAATTCATGTATTATTATAATGCGAAAATATAGAAGAATTTCTTTTGTTTATATATTATTTGGATTCAATTTTCCATCGAAACCATCAAAACCGGTACAAAGCATTCAATTTGATAAATACTTCTATGTGTATGATGACGTAGAATGCAATGATAATATATGTTTTAATTAATATTTAATTAATATCTTTAAAAATGCGTGAAATCAATCACAAAGTTTTTTATTCTAAAAATTAAAAAATGTATAAACTTATCATTAAACACAGTATATAGTTGTACGCCAACGTGTATAGGAAATACATAATCTTCTTTTTTGCAACAATTGTTCTTCTTAATCAGAATTGTATTGAAA